TGATGGTTTCCTGTCTCACATTCAGGTCCTTGATCCATTTTGAGTTTATTTTTGTGAATGGTGTGAGAAAGTGGTGTAGTTTCAACCTTCTGCATGTTGCTGTCCAGTTCTCCCAGCACCATTTGTTAAAGAGACTGTCTTTTTTCCATTGGATGTTCTTTCCTGCTTTGTCAAAGATGAGTTGGCCATACGTTTGTGGGTCTAGTTCTGGGGTTTCTATTCTATTCCATTGGTCTATGTGTCTGTTTTTGTGCCACAGTCTCCCATTCTTAATTCACTTTAATTGTTGCAAGTATACAACATGTACCTAAAGTAAAGCATTGTTAAATTAGACGTGAGTGGAACTCTTAAAAATCCGTGCTCTTTAGATTTATACCCTATTTAATATAAAATTTATTATTTATACCCCTATTTAATACAAAGTTGATATTTAGTTACATATATGATTTTTAATTAGAATAGCTTTTCTTTTTCCTAAGAACTGAAAATATTTGATGTCAGCATTTCAGAGGCAGTCTGCCAAATCTGATTATGTTACTCTAAGTTAAACATAGCTCTTAGTTACCTCAAACCCAGCTTTCTCATAGTCTGTGTGTACATAAAGGGTATAAGTCTGAATTTATAGTTTTATTGCATTTGTAGGTAATATTCTTTTAATTTATTATTTCTAATTTTTATGGAAACTTTTTTCAGGATTTTAAGTAATATTGACTTTTCATTAATGGCAATAGCTTATTATTAAATATTTTACCAATTGAACTATATTCCTTTGGAGACATTCTTTTCTTTTTTGATGTTGAGTTGCTAAGGAGAAATGCTTGTTAAGATACAAACTCTAGTCAGTTACCTGTGAGGATAAGAGATGTTAGAGAGTTCAGACTTTGGCATTTGAACAAGAACAAAGTATAGTTTTAAAATATTTCTCTCACTTCATTCTATGTGAATGTCTCTTTCTGGTACTGTTTTTTTCATTAGGAGGAGGAAAGTTACAGTGCATCCTTCCCACAAACAAAAAACAAAATTAAAAAAGAGCATGAAGGAAGGTTTAAATCCCTAATTGTATACTCTTTTGGTTTTTAGGTAGAAACTGGAACTATCAATATTTTCATGTAAGTATTTCAATGAGTAGCTCTTTAAAAATGGTTTCTAAATTTTTAAAAATTCATTTCCCCTCTAAGTGCATGTTCAGTCACAGTACATCAGTATTGTATTTTAAGGGTGCTTAGCATCGCTTTTATAAAAGTGTGTTTACATATTTTAAATATTTGATTAATTTTTAAATGCACAGGGTGTTAAATACAAGTGCATAAAATTTTCAGTATCTATATTTGGCATTCTCCTAACAGCTCTACAGCAAAGTTTGATATATGCTCTTTTGTGTCCTGTATTACAAGGTGTAATATCTGTAGTAGTAAGTTGGACATTCAAAATAAGCAGTTAGAAATTTATAATTACAGTTGAGCTTTTTTCATCATTGTAGTTTTCATGTTCCAAAGCCTCCCAGTGAATTTTATATATGCTACAGTGAATTATAGATAAACACCACCATGGTGGGCTTTTCCCTCAATAATAATTTTCTCCACAAGCAGTTAACATGCTTAAAAGAAAAAGTTTTTACATGAAGTACCTTGTCTTATCCAAGGTAAATGTTTTCTAAAAGTCACAAAAATGGTAGAAAATGGGATTTGGTCCTGCATTAGAGTTTCTAATTTTGAGGCCCACCAGCTTGTGTTTCATCTTTACATCCTGTCAAAATACTTAATCATGTGAGTATGAGAAAGATGTCATTTAATTTGTACCAGGTTTTTTAAAAAGTTTTAAAATGTGTGTGTGTGTGTATATATATATATATATATATATATTGTAACAATGTATAGTGTCTTTGTTATAATGTAATTTTTTCATTAAAAGAATCCTGTGGTTTTTTTTCTTAAATTTGTTAGTTTTCTTTTTAATACTTTTTCTGGGGATAGTGGTAGTTTTGTTCATCTTTAAGATGCTGAATAAACACCTTAAATACCTGAGAACTTTGGCTAGAGATTTATGTTCAATTTGGAACCTGAAAGTTTTTCAGCATAACTACCAGTAACTCCTATTATCATTACAGTAGGTATATATACACATTTAGTACTCTCAGCTCAGCCAACCATCAACATTTTAAAACAATCCCTGTAATATTAGTAATTCTTTTTTTCTCACATCTTGACACTGGACATCTTTAAGTACAGCTTTATATTTTTGGTGTAATGACAGAAGTATGTGATTTAAAAAGGAGAGATCATTAATGTTTTTCCTCTTTGCTTCTTTTGCTTTATTCCTCCCTGCCTATTTTATGGGACCATAGAAAATCTGACTCTCTCCAGAAGGGGCACTCTATTAACTATTCCCCATCAGCTAATTTAGGCTTTAGACATTTTGATTGGTGTATTGCTTTGATATCTAAGTATCAGTAATTCTACTTAATTAATTTAGTTGTAATGGCAAAGCCTTAGTGTAATTTTGCCAAATACATGTTAGCTATGAATACAATCATTAAATACAAATATTCATTGCTCATTGAATTCTTAAAACTTCAGGAATAAATCAGAATTAAAGAAAAATTCGCTAAGGGATTCTAAATTTAAAAAAAATGTTAACGTTTATTCATTTTTGAGAGAGACAATGCGAGCAGGGGAGGGGCAGAGAAAGAGGAAGACACAGAATCTGAAGCAGGCTCCAGGCTCTGAGCTGTCAGCACAGTGCCTGATGCAGGGCTTGAACTCACGAACCGTGAAATTACGACTTCAGCAGAAGTTGGACGCTTAACCAACTGAGCCACCCACGTGCCCCTAAGGAATTCTAACTTTGATTCATTAGAAAAATAAATAG